TTTCCATTTTCCAATTTGTCTGGCAAATTTTTTTGTGACAAGAAAAATATGGGGATTAATTTTAAGATATCAGACAAATAGTGATCACTGAAAAATGTTAAAAATTTTCACATGATTTTCCACAGAGAAACTTGACTCAGAACATTGGAAATCGTCTGGCAAATTTAGTTTTACAAAAATTTTCATTGTATCGATTGCCAGACAAGAAATAAAAGATGCATTTTTTTTCTTCTTGTGAGGTCACCCCTTTGAACCACCATTTGGGCTATTTAAAACCGTCTGGCATTTGAAAATTTTAGGTACATATTAATGTCTATTTTTGCATCAACTGCCAGATACTTTAAGATGAGTGAAAAACTAATTATTTTACGCAAAAGGAAATTAATTTTCCAAATTTTCGAACACGGGTCGGCCCTTAAAACCACCCTTATTTTCATTAACCAACTTACCTTTTTCAGACCTCAAAATGTCAGACATTTTCCAATGACGCCACACCAATGGTCACGGTCTATAATCAGTATTGTAATACATGAAAGAAAGATCTGTTTAAAGACCAAAGAATTGAATTACTATTTTTTAAGAATAGTTAATTAAATATTTTCTGTTATACAAAATATATGCATAGATCTGATGTATTTTTTGATGCTGAATCCGAATCTGCAGCCCAAAAACCGATCTACAAAGGCATTTTAAGTAAAACGTTAAAGTATCCCCTAAAGTAGGGGCAATACATGTACACATTTTTTACGAAATCTTTTTTTGTCGGACTGACGATTTGTGGATATATTTTTGTTGGACATTACAATTTTTGCTTATAAAAAACACTTTTCTATCGTGTGTTATTTTTGTCCGACATGTGGTAATCGATTTATCATATCCCGTGAAAATTATGATTTCCAGCTGTCAGACTGAAAAAAACGCGGCTTGAAATTACAATACTTTTTGACTGAATTAATTATTTACAAATAATTTTACTAAATATTACCTATGTGGTAATTGATTTTCAATACCCTGTTATTTTGGCATGTTTCGGCCGGTAGACACGTCAATATCGGAAGAATTTCTGTCGGACAAATTTAAATCGGCATTTGCCACAAAATTTCCAGTAACTTAAGCTAAAAAAAGATATGATCTTGACTTTTCAAGACTCCGGGAAATTGCCATGCCAGGAATGTTCAGACTTGGAAGCATAATTAAGGAATTTTCATTTTTTAAACAATTTCGCCTTATGAAAAACGGGTTATAACATACATTCAAGTATCAAAAATGATGACAAGTCTCTTTAGTAGCGATACACCCGTGTCTTCTATTACATTACATTACATGGGAATTTGCACAATAATTAAACATTTAATCCTAAAAAATGAAAGATTAACTTTCTTTTCTAATTCTATTTTCTATTTAGCCGTACTTTTCTATGTAAACTTTCCACTTCACACAATGCGGTTTGATCGTGTATCCCACAAAACATGTGTCTATACTATCTATACTCATCCAACTAGAAGAAGTGTAATAGTCGATGCACAGCGGACTGTCGGAAGTTTTACGATCATAATAGGTTATGCACCAAGAGGTGATCATTTCACCATTATAAGACATATTTTACAGGTTAAAAACGGAAACATAATCATTATGAAAACGAATAATTTTGTTAATGCAGATTTGGGTATTGATTTTTATACAACAAATCTTCCCTATTATACAAGTGGAACACAAAGGCTATAACACATAATAATATATAAGTAATTCATTATACTTTATATCATACATGCATAAGATGTATTAAGTGCTTTCCAATAAACTCATTGATTAATGAATATGGAGAAGAGTATTTTTTTAAACAAATGTTGTATGTTTGTTATAAAAGCTTTAATATGCACTATATTATTCTAGAGAAACAGTTTAATTGACCAGTTTTTTCCAATGTATTTTTAATTTACTATTATTTTCATAGTTACTTATTATAAGCTAACATCTTTCTTCTTAGATTCTTAATGGTTTTCTTTTTAGACATAATTAATTTATTCTAAAAAATATATTCAACATCTTCAACTGACTGCTTTGTACGCAAATCCAAACACGCAACGCTGACCATAGTATTAACGAGATATTTAAAAAGGCAATAAAATATCTCAAACCCCACAAATGCCTAACAGTATATTTATAATCTAATGATAATTTTATTGACAAGAAACAAACACCGACCATGTTTATGGCATGCTGTAAAATATCGCCAAGCCGCAATAGGCGTATAGTATATGCCGGCAAGTTTACACTCTATTATTAATAGTAATCCATGTTTAATGTCTTATGATTATCATAAATGTACACAAATTTATAATTGTACGGTGTATGACTACAATATAAAAAAAATACAAAAATTGATATAAGTTGCGTAGACAAATATAACATGTGTAACTATTTTGATTGTGAATTTCAGACCATCAAAGGATATATCAGGGCTTACTGTGATACTTTTTATGGTAAAACTGGTTTCCTCTGGAAATATATAATTAAATACACAGGATGTGCAAAGTAGTTTTTAAAAACGATTTATTTACTAGCTAATAGAGTACACGTTCTCTAGCCAAAACTAATAAGAACTGAACTAGAGTTACAAGTTGGTGGTTGCTTAAATATAAAGTCTTATCTAAATTATTTACATTAAGGGAAACTTTCCCCAGTGACGTAGGTCACGTATCGTTCTAAATAATTGAGTCATTTTAGTAGACACATTATCATANATGGACCCGTTCGGGACTACTACAAACTCAACTTCAAGGGTCATTGATGGGATAAACATAACGACTGTACACAAGCCCAGAGATTTCGTTACCGAGTTTCCCAATCCAGTTAGATTCTGACTGTTAGCTTCAATTTTTATATTTAGTGTTCGTGGTATAGATTCGTGAATTACACTGACATCTGCGCCTGTGTCTACTAAATATGTTACAGAGACAACAGTACTGTCGTTCACTATTTTCGCCGACAGTCACGATTGTATAAAACGCGTCTTTCGTGTCAATATAGCAATTTTGGAACTTCCTTGTTTTTGGTAACAGGCATCTTCGGTATGCCCCATTTTCTTACAATAAGTACAGATTTTTGGTTTTGTTTGCGCTGTAGAAGTATTTCTGTTTAATGATTGAGAAGCTCGAGAGTCGGAATAAGTTTTTAATGTCAGTTTACAGTCAGATTGTTTATGTCCATATTTGTTACATTTCCGACATCTTCCTGGAAAAATGGGTTCACTATCACGTACCAGTCGAGGAGGCGAGCCATGTCGTCGCTTGCGAGAATTTTCACCAAAACTATGACGATTAGCGACTGGTTTATGTTTATTTTCTATATTTTTGCGTGCGTCACAAGCAGCCAATAACTTTAACAAATCAGCCTCACATTTCGGCTCTTGTAAACATATTCTGTTTTTAACTTCGGCCTCTTGTATATCATACTCAACGATACTGAGAGTTATTTCCCAAGGAAAGGTAGAGTAAAATCTCTTTAAAGCGGCAAGCTTAGCATTTCCATATTCCACCAAAGAAGCAAAATCTGAACTTACAATGGCAAGACAAGCACGAATTCTGGTAGCGGGGGTGCCTTGTTCTGGAAATGCCACTTCAAAATCACGTCGGAATGAGGCCCAATCCCTTACGAGCGGCTTCCATTGTTTATAAAATCGTGCGGCTCGTCCACGCAGTGCGTCACCTGCTTTTAGCACGATCAGCGTATCCGACATGCCAACTTCTTGTTGAATTCGGGTGACCTCATCCATCCATTCGATCATGGAAAACGGAGTATCGTCAGGGTCAAACCTCGATAATTGTATGTGCGCCAAAGCGGATCTGACGACATCCGGCGCAGGCGTAGCTGATGCTGATGTACTGGCCGACACAATGTTGCTAGAAGTGCTCTGAGCGGCCATTGTAGAAAGGATCTGCATCATTTGTTTTTGAAGTTCCATGTTACTTTCTTGTTGCAATTTCCACATTGTTAATATCTGTCCGTTTACACCGTCCTGTTCACTTAACACAGACTCGTTTTCAGCGTCAGCATTAACTACCGATTCGCGTACCGCTTGGTCGGCCATTTTGATCACAATATTTTAGGTCCTTTCTCCCTCTCGTGTGGATAGTATGGATAGAAAGGGAGGAATCCCACTTCTGATGTAAGAATCAGGGTAATATTATGATAAATAGTTTAATAATACTGTTAATTAATACACAACTTTTATAATTGATCCACCCAACCACCTCACCGTGCGTCTATCTCGATACATTGCAAGGTCAGAACTAACTCGAGATTAAAATATGCTACAACATTGTTTATAGTTAAGTCACGTAGGCATTGATCCATATACCAAATGCTAACANAGATGGAAGTTTTCGAGATAATAGACAGTTTAAAACACAAACTTGCGAGAACAAACTTCAACTATCAAAATTGTAATTTTTCCAGCGCTTCCTTGATAAATGATTAGTATTTTGTCATCGCTTGTATAATGTATTCTTGAAACTTTGGAACCGAATATCTCGAAAACTTCCATCTTGAAGGTCATACGTTTTTGACATATTCGTACTCAGAAAAATGTGCTCTATCGAAATCCGTGGAAAAAAATATGGGCTGCCATTTAAAAGAATTGCCGATGACGTCATACATCAAAAACAAACAAAACAAAAAAAAAGTCGATGGCTGAAAAAAGTGACATTTTATAAACTAAAGTTGACGTGTCCGAGGATTTCCTGTCAAAACCCTTCAATAACGATTTTTCGAATTTATTCCAAACTTTACGAGCTCAGTGTATGTGTACAGGATGCTATAAAAATTCAACTGATGCCATTGATCCTGGACAAGTTATTTATTTCATAGGCTTAATAACAATCGAACCACCATGTATAATGGTTAAATATATTATTTTCTTTATTAATATTATTAAGTAATATAATTTTGTATTTTAGGTAGTTGTTCGCAAAGTTGCATAAACATGCCACGGCTTAAAAAGCCAACTTTTCGAAAGATGTCAAAAACATTGAAAGATAGACATTTGTCCAAAGCGATTACTGACACTTTACTGAAAATTCTGAATGAAGTAGAATTCCTAAATAAACAGTCTACAGTAGATTGTCAAATATTATTGGAGGAAATTTTAAATCGAGTTATGGAGAAAATTTCCGATTTATCTTCTACATCGTCAGAGGAAGTCCAGGAAGAAGAAAATAAGGAAAATGTTGATCCTTGTTGCTCATCAGCACTACAACCAACAACACTTGAGGATTCTAGCTCAGGGGAGTCAGATGAATATAATTTTACTTGGGGTTCTATTGACGAGTACAATACGTAAGGCTATTTAATTAATTAAATTGTTACAAGTGATTAGATATGTCTAATAATTTTAGAATACAAGATTATTAACTTGATATTGAATTCGAGAAAAACACCAACACCCTTGATGGCTGCAGAATAGTTGATATAAATTATTTAATAACGAAAACAATTATTCTTCAAAGCAACCACAACAGAAAATGTACTGGAGGTTCCTTGTTATTCCTGAAGGAAAAAAGACTAGGACTTTCAAGTATTATTACATATAAATGTAACATATGTAACAAAGAGCAAAGTTTTGGCACAGAAAAACCAGCACAAACTGGTCAAATAAATAAAGTTGCAGTATGGGGAGTACTTTCAACAGGTAGCACTTTCAGTCATCTGACTGAATTTTTAAGTGTAATGGGTATCCCACCTTTACAGAGCAAATTATTTTTTGATATTCAGCGGGATTTAGGAATTGTAAGTATCTACGTAATTGGTAATGATATATAGACCCACTATAGGTGTTAATAACAAGTTGGAAAAATGTTGAGTTAATTAATTTTAGAATAATTTATTAAATATGGAATTGTTTTTTAAGGTTTTCTGATTTAATCTATTTGCAGTAGATTTTTTTCTCTAGTGCTCAAATTGTAGTTAGAAATTTGAAATATTTTGCTGTTTGTAGAAGTGGAAGCAATGTTTAGATGAAGACATAAAAAAAGCAACTGAAGAAGAAAAACAAATAGGAATCCAAACGTTCATATGGACATAGCTATAATGCCTCATCTGGAGTAGTAAGTATATTGCAGTACAGAGGGTGCTGTAAAATGTAGAAAAAATTACTTAGTGAAGTATAAAAAAAACATTTAAAATTTATATATGAATAAATTTTTAGGGTAGAATAGGGCAACATACTGGCAAAGTGTTATTCCTTGGAGTTCGGAATAAATACTGCTCTATATGCACACGTGCTGAAAATAGAAACGAAAAATGTAAAGAGCATATATGTTATAAAAATTGGAGTGGGTCGTCTACAGCAATGGAAGCCGATATTATGGTTGAGGGTTTCAATAAAAGTGTACCATTGTACAATCTCAAATATAACCATTTTATTGCTGACGGTGATTCTTCAGTTTTTGCTAAAATAAAAGAAAAAGTAAATTATGGCACTAAGGTATATAGCAAGAAAAAAGTAATAAAATAATTTTGTTACTATTGTATATTTTTTAGGTTTCAAAAAAAGAATGCACCAACCATTGTTTGAAAAATTATAGCGAACATCTATATAACATAAAGAAAAATACTAACGGAGTGTCTGCAGCAGCACGAAAATTTTTAACCGGTAAAATAATTGAGAAACTAGTATCGGCTGCACAAAGTGTAATATATGCCAATCAAAATGGAAGTATATCTATGCTAAAGGAAGATTTACGAAACAGTATAAATCATGTGTTTGACAATCATCTGAACTGTAAGATTTCTTATTGCACTGATGTGGGAAATGTAGCGTAAGACCAAACAATAGCATTAAAAGAATCTGGAGCTCATCATCACGTTTATGGAGTACTAAATTTATTAATAACAAAATGTCATTTACTTATTGACAATGAAACAAATAATAAGGCAGAAACGTTTATGAATATTCTTGCAAGATTTAATATGGGTAAACGGTTAAATTTTACTCAAAGAAATAGTTTTGCTGTCCGAAGCTACTTGACAGCTCTAAGATACAACAGTTTCGGTTGGCATATTTCAGCATGGAAAATGTATTTTGGCTGTGAACTTCCACAACAACTTACTAAATATATTGATTTTGAGACAAACTGTGCAAGAAACAGAAATAAACCGGTAAGAAAAAGAAAAACAAAAGGACCAAAACAGAGTAAAGATTATGATTATGGACCTAATGTAGCAGAAGTTGAAATTTCAGAGTCAGATCTAGCTGTTGAAGTGAAAAATCTTGTAAAAAGGTTACAGGTAAGAAAATAATTTCACCTACTAAATATGGTAAGAGACTAGAAGAGAAAAACGAATTTATTTTGAATTTTATTACTCTCTAAAACAGAAACATTGCACCATCTATGTACTAATATAATGAAATATAATCTTTAATTCTAGGTCACAGAAGAAGAAATAAATAAAATAGCAGAAGAAACAGTAGGTCAGTTTAATAATCCGCGATATATAGAAGAAAAATTATATAGCCTCCAATTTTGGAGAGGTGGCTAAAAGAAGAAATTATACTTCCTGTGATGCTATCGTTAAAAAACTTCTGAATAGAAACCACCTAAGTAGTTCTTCTATTGAATATGGCTTAAAAAATGAAAGTGTGGCCATTAGTAAATTTCAAGAAATTACAGGAAAATCTGTCTCACCCTCAGGGTTATACATAAATCGAAAGAATGGAATATTTGGAGCATCACCAGATGGTTAGTTTTACAGAAAATGTCTCTTCTATATTAAAGAGCTCTTCTGTGTAATTTGTGATGAGTAAATTATATTTCTATAGCTAACTTTCCTTCCTTCTTCTTTAAGAGCGTAAATATTTTAAATATTAATTAAGTAGTTCATGAATTAGTAGTCCACTATTAGTCTAATGTAATTTTTTTAGTTTTTACTATTTGTGGTAAATTTTTTCTAAACATACATTCAAGTATAACATTTTTAGGTTTGATTGAAGATGACAGCATTATAGAAGTCAAATGTTTGGAAAAGGTAGCTCTATCAGGAATTACTTTGGCAGAGGCAGTGGAGAAAAAAATGGTGCCTTGTTTATATAAAGACAAAGAAGAAGTGAAATTGAAAAAAACTCATAACTATTACTATCAAGTAAGTAAAATAAATTAAAAAGTGATGTATATGTAATCAATATTTCTTGTCTATTAGGTACAAGGTCAATTAGCAATAACATGAAGACTCATATGTTATTTCATAATATACACAGGCGATAATAATGACCTATTCATACAAGAAATAGCTTCAGACAAAACATTTATCGACAATATGTTTAAAAAATTAGAAACATTCTACATGGACTTTTAGCTCCCGAAATAATACTTAATAGAAGAGGAAGAAATTTGAAATGTAAAGACCCAACTTATATTTTAGAAGCCAAAAGAAACAAAGAATCAAAGAAAAACAGAAACAGGAACTTTTAAGTAATCATTGTACGTAATTATCTTGTAACTGTTGTATTCTGACGCTGATATAATATAATATAATATAGTCACATTAAATTAAATAAATTAGTAAAATAGAGTGTGTCCAATTAAGTCGTCACCATATAGGATACATAGGATATATTTTTTATTATTGGTTTTATAACAAAAAGTTATTCTTAATAAAAAGGCCTAAAACCCAATGAAATAATCACATTTCAATTTTTTTCAGTCGTATACGAAGTTTGTTGAAAAATGTTTTTGCTCTAGAGTAAAGTACCTTTATTTTTTACAATATCGACAATCGTTATTAAGAAAAGTTGATCCTAATAGAAAACTACGGTCGGATATCCAATATTGTCCATCTACCATTAAAAATAACCTTTAATAATTTTTGGGTATCAATATAGTATGAAATAAACAAATAAATTATAATTTAATTTTGCAAATCATAAAACATTTATTGTATTGAATTAATTTGTTCGTCAATGCATCCTAGATTTAATGTCGATCTCTAGACGTAAATTGTCGATGGTAATACAGAGAAGTGTTTGTAAAAATAACAAAATCCGTTTTTTTATGGAAGATGGATAATATTGGATACCTGAGCGTACTTTTCTATTGGGATCAACTTTTCTTAATAACGATTGTCAATATTGTAAAAAATAAAGGTACTTTACTCTTGGACAAAATTTACATTTTTCGACAAACCTCGTATACGACTGGAAAAAATTGAAATCTGATTATTTCATTTTGGGTTTTAGGCCATGCAGTTTATCAAGATTATTTTTTTTTAATATAACCAATAATAAAAAAGTATCCCATATGGTGCCGACTTAATTGGACACACTGTATATGTATAATTTATTATTTACTATTATCGAATAATATAATATAGTAAATGTAAAATTATAGAATTATATAATGAATGTATTTATATTTGCTCTTTATTATTCAAATCTTACAATATTTAATAATAAATATTTTAAATAACAATTGAGTAATTTATTAACAGATTGAGAAATTTGTTTGGAAATTTTTGAATTACCCTCTTATATGAGTAATATTTAATAAATTATTTTTGGCGTTCTTTACTCGAAAATAAAAGATAACATGCCTATAGTCTATTTGTATTCCTTTGTTTTTGTTACGTTATATAAATACCATCCCTATTAGAAAGCAAATTCACATTTTCAATCATTTGTTTCTCTGCTTGACGTTTACACTATTTATTTGTGCACAATAAATTTTCACTGAAACTTTACTAGGAGTAAATATCTAAATAAACCGAGTAGTTCAGAAATACTAGGAAAACAATTGGGTATATAATCTGCGTGAGAAATTATTCGACCCTATTTTTTTTGGTTTCCCAATGTTTTATTTTTTGGGGTCCCTTGAAATTGGGCTTACAACTTTGTATTTTGCAAATATCTTCGATAACGTAAAGGCGACATTAATAAAATTTATATGGGGTTTTAGATAGTCTATCTATATGAACACTATTAATACAATAGTTTTTCCATGTATTTGAATTTTGCTCTTCACTTTTTCATTTGAAGTTTAATTTTACAGAAAACGTTGCTAAAAATGCAGTGTACTACCATTGAAAAAACTTGAAAAAGTATAAATTCATAAAATGTAAATGGTAGCTGTGAAGATAATTCAATTGAGTGATAGTTGTCAATTCGTGATTTCGCTGTCACCTTATTTTCTCTCAAGGATTTTAATAAATTATGTAATTTAAAAAATTTTCAATTATCAGTTTATCTTCTAAAGATAGTATCATAAACTTGAGATTTTTTGTAGAAATTAAATATTAAAGGAAGAAAACATTTGTTAAAAGTTTATCAATTGGTCTCCACATCTTTATTGTCTTGTTTACGGGTTACAGTTTCGGAGATATTTGCTCAAAACGAAATTTTAGGGTCAATTTCAAGGAGCCGCAGAACCTACCAAAATTATAAATCGAGAAACCAGAAAATACGGGTCAAAAAATTTCTCACGTAAGTAGACTGTACCTAATTTTTTTCCTTGTATTTCTAAATTACCCTGAATTTAATTGAATAGAAGTGGTAACAGTAGTCTCCCGACTTCTTTTTAGAAAACTAAATACCTGTTAAAAACTAATTTTCAACAGAATATTTGATTGCAAAATTTGGCTCCCTATGTAATAGAAATTGACTTTACCGCCACTTCTTAATCGGATGCTGAACTATTCTATCATAA